CGTTTCGTAAATACTACAAACCAATGAGCACGGACATTTCCGAATTTTCCGTAGATATCTTTAAATTGAATCTTTCGACAAAGCTCCAACACGACACTTCAAATGAACGCGCGCTGGGAAAGACGCGTCAAATATTAATGATATTTCGACTAATGGGGTGCCCCTGACTTTTGTAAATCAGTCAGAATTCCCACAGATCAGTCAAAATCGCAAAAAATCGCTTGTTTCCATAGCAATAAGCGTCTAGACCAATCAGAACACTGGATTTTGACTTTTTGACTGACCGACTTTGCATATGTCAGCTGCTCATTGACTTGACTAAGCTCGTCGGCTCAACCACTGTATGAAATTTGATCACTGGACTACAGTTCAATTGGAATGTTAATTGCTAGCGTTGCATGATAATAGATACTGGAGTATTATAAAGTGTCGCTGTATGATAAAAAATAACTGGACTATTGGTCGAATATTTAAGACTTTAATAAGTTTGCGATTTTTACATTAGTCGTGTGACTGGTTTGACGACCCCTAGATCCGCCCCTGAAAGTTATGAATATGGAAATCAACGAGTGTGGAAGCCCAATGTGATTTTGATATTAAAATACAATATAATGGGGAATACAAACTTCATTTGTGAAGCCTGTCGTATTGATATAAAGTAAGAACATAATATTTACTGCCAGTTCATCTGCTTTGTGCATTTGAAACGAGCACTGAAATCAATTTTTAAAATGATGTACTCTGCCAATTCACACTGTTTATGTAGATATTTTATTTGGCCGCATACACTATATTAAACGCTATATATTAATACCATAGGCATAGCGTACTGAATTACATTTTGAGCGCCAGGCGCAGTGTCTGTAGTTGATATCACTCCATTATATAAAGTTTAACACATTACTAACAAACATAGTGAATTTTTAACAAATGCTAGCCATAGCATTACGCCATGTTTAACAGTATATGGTTATGCAATTGTTGATTATGTGAGGTTGGATTATGTGTTGATCAAATGAAAGATCGTATTACAGACACGTATTGTATCCATGATATTTTCCTCTTTCGTAACTTGACTATATTTAGCTACATTTTCAGTGAAGTTGAAAAATATATAGTGAAATATTATTTTAAAACATTTTTTTCTAAAAAAATTATCAAAAATATTCCGCTAATCACACAATTTTTTTATGTCCCTTTGGAGTATTTCGCCGTGAAATCGCAGGAAATGGCCATTCCACTAAAATTCAAAATTAAAAAAAAATTTCCATTCTTCTAAAATTCAAAATTTCCCGGGGGAGCATGTCTCCGGACCCCCCTAGAATGTTTGGGTTTTAGAGTAGGACTAGTCAAATTTCGCTAGCTATGCCACTGTCTGTAAGCCAATGGCTTACACTATGAAATAAACGGTTACCATAGGCATTTCATCTCATTATATTTATTGTTTTTAATGTGTTTGAACCCAAAATAGGGATGATGAAAATCCAGAAATTCCATTGAGACTTATTGTGTCCTATGTGAATACTTCTACATATGGAGTTTCAAGTTTCGTGGCGAAAATTTTGTCTCCTGTGGTGGGAAATACCAAAAACACTGAAAAATTGCAGAATTTGTGAGAGGTAAAATCTTAAAGCCGATCAAGTGTCAGTATCATTTGATGTAGTTTCCTTGTTTACAAAAATCTCAGTTGATCTTGCCGTCAAGGTTGCAACAAAAAGACCCTTGCCTGTAGAAGATATTATTTATTGATCTTCTGTCTTTTTGTCTCAACACCACATACTTTGTGTTTGAGGGCTGTTATTATCAACAAATTTTTGGAACAGTGTTGGGGTCACCAGTATCGGCAGTAACTGCTAATTTTTTAGTAATGGAAGATGTCGAACAAAGAGTGTTAGCCTCCATTCCGGTGTCTATCGTTTTGGAAACATTTCGTCAATGATGTCATATCTCTGCGGTTTCTAGAAATGAAATCGATACTCTCGAATGCCATTCGTCCAATTCATGGTAGAACATGAGATTGATGTACATTTAGCTTTTTTAGATTTGAATGTTCAAAGAACTGTCAAAGGGAAATTAGATACTGATGTTTATCACAAACCCACACAGATAGGCAAATATTTGTCATACGACACTCATCATCCAGTAAACCATAAAAAATTGTAGCAAAAACTTTGCTTCAAAGAGCTGAGATCACCTGTTCGTAGGAACCAAAATAACTCTGAGGGTGATACCTCTGCTAAGGGTTCCATACATTGAAGATGTCACAGAACCAATCAAGAGAATCTAAGTAATTGTAATATTAAGGTTGCCTTAAAACCCTATTTGACTTTAGGCCATATTTTCGCAAAGCCAAAAGACGCTGTTAAAACAAGTTAGAAAACTCATGTTAAATATTGTATACCAAGTGGTGACAACAAGAAAGAGTACAGTCTAAATGCCAGTTTGGTACACAGCTAAAAGAACATCAAAAGGCTGTTTCATGGGGAAAACTCTATAGTAATTACGACAAACAAATGCTATGGTCAAGGACTATGCCTAGAAACGTGGCATATACATATGAGTAATCATGCTTTAAATATAGGGATGACAATGCCTATTTGCCAGAGGAATACATGCATCTCATTGCCAGGTGACATCATCCCTTGGGTATTTAAGAAGCCACAACTGCAACTTTAGATCACCCCTGATGAAGACACTAGACTGGAGTGTCGAAACGTTGGGTCTTGATAACAATTCGAGTGGGCTTTGTAATCATTTATTTAAACCAGATTAGCGAGCGAAACATGATTGATATACCTTGTTGCAGTGAACGAATAAAAAAAGACTGCCAACAAACTGAACTTGAAATACATGTGCTTGGTTTTTGATGAGGCAATCTAAGCCAAAGTTCAGCAAATTAGATGGAAGAAAGAGGGGTATCTCAGCTGATTTGGGGATTTGTCTGACTTGGGGATTTTCACATGGCAATATCATATTGTGGAGCAATTTTCAAACTGTTTAAAGATGCTGCATTAAAGGTATTTTTAAAATGTATAAGTTTCATTGTTAACCCATTAAGCTGCACATACGTTTCATTGACCACATCTGGTTACAAGGAAAGCCTTAACTTTTTTTATATGTATGTCATTAAACTTTTTGCATTTGTTTTACCAGATATGAAACACTTGGCCAAGCCTGGGGGTTTTATAGAGCTGTTTGTTTTTTAAATTATAGATAAGACAATTCCATATTATTCTGACACTGCCATCGAGCGACGGAAAATTCGTTGGATCGAGTGGGATTTGAACTCGCATCTTCGGGCATCTAGACCGCTGCTCTACCCATTCAGCTCACTGTTCTTTTTAAATTACACTTGTCTAGCATGCAAAAGAGTCTCCTTATGATATGAAAATATTAAATTGCATGTCCATTAGTTTAAAATACTGCCTAAAAAGTTAAAACAATACAATGTTTTAAGTGAACCTGGCACTTCATATAGAAGTTAGAGAGTCAAGGTAAAAACAAGTTGCTGACAAATTTCCTTTGCTTTGCTTTCATTTGCTTGAAACATCCAAGTTTTTTCTCAGGTCATTTCTACACATACTCACCGGCTTACAAAATGCAACTCCCATTGCATGTGTGTGTGGAAACAATCAGTTGCGATTAAGAGGTTAACTAAGATACACATTTTATTCATTACAGAAAACCTTGCTGCACAGTTTCCTTGTGAAGAGTACTTGACAGAAGTGAAGAGTACTTGACAGAAGTGATGTCACAGGATTTTGAACAATTAAGAATGATTGTTGCTACATTAGTGCAATCAGAGGCTGAGAAAAAAAAACAACATTTGTTCTGTGGCTGAATTAAATTGGTATGGTTCAAGTCCTTTTGATATTCTTGCATGCAACACAAGAAAACAACTGGGATCAACATCTCTCAGCATTTAGATCTATACCCATGGTTCTTTGTGACGGATATGGTTCAGTTTATTGGCTTGAAATGTTTTGCCTTGAAACATCACATGCAGGTTAGACATACTCTAAAAGCTCAGTGTTATAATTTGTCAGTAATAATTCAGATCTCTATATTCTATAAAAAACGAGGTGGGGTCCAGGAAGGTTGAATTTGTAAGAACATCAAGACAGTGGTACATAAGTTTCTCTCAATATGAAAGAGAGACATTTAGAGCATAGGCCCTTTTTGTCATTACTAACTTCCTGACAGGAACCTTTGCTCAGAACGTCAACAAATTTTATTTCTCTCTTATAGGTTCAGAGAAACTCATCTACCACTGTCTCCTATGTAAAACTGATCTCAATTGTAAATAAAACTTGTAAATATCTTGCAGGGACAACCAATAATATTTTAGAAAACTGGACCTGTCAATGGCAGAAAAGTCATGGTTTCTTATCCACAGCACGCGACCAGGTAATGAAGCAGATATACAATCAGGATTCAAAAGTCAGAGGTGGTTTAGTTGGATTCACTCAATGCAGTGCACAGGTGGATCATGACACAGGCAGACAGTGGCGCTATCACCAGGCATTGTGTCAAGACGATAAATAATTCATCAGAGACCAGGTAAAATATGTGCTGTCATAACTATGTACTGTGTGTAATATAATCTATTATATTATAGCATTTGTGAATTCTGATTGGCTAAGAGCCGTGTTGATATAACACAATATCAATATGGAAAATTTAAAGCTTTACACTTATTTGTGCTATATTTTCCGTATTGATATACAGTTATATCGACACTTGTGGAAATTGGGAAAACTCGAAATTGTGCAAAAACACTCGTCATGTTTCCACAAAATTTCTCATTTTCCCAATTTCCAGTCGTGTTGATATAATTGTATATCAACACGGAAAATGTTTCATTTTTGTTAAGTATTATATTTTTCTATGTTTTTGTGCAACGATGTCTATACTAGTAACTAAAAGAAGTTAGCACAGTTTGTTGTTGCAAACTATCTGCAATACTTTACCTGTAAAAGTCTAATTCATTTTCAATGTAGAACATGTGAATACATGGATGCCACAGAAAACTAAATACCATGAGCAAGAGGAAGCCAATGTTGTGGAAACTATAACAAACATGAGCAATCCTTTTGATGTGGATGGCAGCATGATCAATATTGCCAGTGGAAAGGTCGCTACTGCAGATGTCTCTAGAGACATAAACTGTGCAGATGACGTTGGAGGACAGAAATGTAAAATTTTTATATCAAAAGCATTTACTTAGTGAAGAACCAGATCTGTTTGCCACAACTAAAGCTACCAAACTAAGCACGTTTTCAACAATGGATAAGAAGACAAAGGTGTAAACTAGTAAAGGACAAATTGTCAAGCTGAAAAACAACTTGAAATTTATCTCTAGATTACTTGCAGTAGGCAAAGCAAGAGATGTTGACATGAAAGAAATTCTCATCCACAGTCTTAGAAAATGCCCGTCCCCATTATCAACTGTTGATGGACAGCTAGTTAAGACTCCCAAAGCAAAGTTATTGCACATCCTAGAAGGTCGTGTGAAAGACTCAGCAATTGATCAGTTGCCACATAATAATGCCTTAATACTGGATAGCATGGCACTAATTCAGATTATTAAACACATCCCCGAAACCTTTGGTGTTTTTCATAACTAATCTTATTTTGTCATTGGCAGCAAGTTCGCAGTCGACAAGGGTTGATTCTGTACTACTTTCAGTGCTGAAGTGAAAAACCTGACCCTTTATTGCACCAATTTCAATGTGTTCCGTAAGCGTGGTGAAATGGAATGCAATGACTTCCTCTTGCTGATGGTTATTACCTCCTTCATGGGAAAACTGCACTTCAAACAAGTCATCCACAGTTTCAGCAGTTAGGCGACTCTTCACAGACTTGGAACACTCTCCCTTTTTCAGGAATAAACTTCTAATAGACCATACAACTTCAAGCCATTGATGAATTGCTCCATACAGCAAAGTGTAATGTAGGCAAATATACCATAAGCATTTGTGTAACCAGCCTTGAAGGGCATGGAACAATTAAATGAAGCCAGTTGTTTGAAATCTTCTGGATCTCAAGTTCTTTGGAGTTCCTCACGTTTTTTCCTAACTTTTGCATTTGGAACATCTTCAACTGAAATTGTAACCTTTTCCACACAGCCATGAAGGATATAGTCTACAATAGGAGAGGCAAAGAAACTAGGACTGGCTGCACCTTGGATGATTGGCATTGCACAGAGTCTACCATACAGAAGGTAGTGCTGCTGTTCTAGGACAATAACATTGCTAGAAAAACACTTACTGTGTTGCTTTCTCCAGCAAACATGGAGTTGGAATCATTCATATGTTTGTGAAGCACGGAAAACAATTCTCTTTTAGGCCCTCCTGTGTCAACTGCTGGTTCACTCACATACTGAACATGGATTCCTTGTTCATGATCTTCCTCCAAATATTTGTTTAGCTTAACTTTAACATCCTCCCAGACATGACTTCTTCTGATCTTTATTCTTAGAGAAGCGTCAGTCCTACGTTTTTGGTTGCATTGCTGAATCAATAAGTCGCAAAGCTATAAATTATCTGCAGTTGAATTTATTTCATCTTCTACACTGTGTTGAGCAGTTTCGTCTTCTCTTGGATTGTTATTGTATGTAAAATCTGGGTCATTTGTGATATCATTGCAAAATTTCGAAGGAAGCATAAATTTTTTGTGTTGTAGTACTTGATGGAGCCTGGTCAGAAACAATCAAATTTACTGCAGCTTCCAGATTGTTGTGTCTGTAGCTAAGAGAGCATTTCTAGCATGGGATGAACTACACTGTGGAAACATCTCAGTTGTGGATTCATACAAAGAATCGATGTTCTCATCCAATGTATTAGATACTGTTGACAGTGTACTTTCATGACGCAAAATTGTTGTTCCTTAAAGTGTAGTACACCCAGGGTTAGCTGACACATTCAAACTAGATCACAAATTGTGTGGTGTCGCTGTTACAGCCGAACAGGCTCCACTTTGCTCTGTTGTTGCATTGAGTGCAGTATTTTGACATGTTTTTTCGATTTCGATTTTTTGTGATTATATTGAAATTTGTTTTCAAGTGTGAAATGTGTTGTGAATATTGAAATGTGTTTTTAGCAATTATTGAATTGTGTTTCCAGTTTGGAAATGTGTTGTGGACTTTGGGGTTTGTTTTTTAATTTGAAATGTGTTTGGGCCGTTTTCTGTGAGGCTAAAAACGGCCTAGAATACAAATTCCTTAGTGCACGTACTATGGTGGCCCATTAACGCCATAGTGGTTTTTACGAAATTATCAAGTTTTTTTAATAAAAAAATATTTTAAAGTATTTTTTTATTTTTTAAACAAATTTCTTTATTTTATTTTAAATTATATTTTAGTAATTTTTTTTTATTATTTTTTCTTTATAATTTTTTAAATTTCTGTTTTTATTTGGTTCTACTTTTATTAAAAAATAAATAAAAAAACATACTCCATAGCCCATTGACGCCATAGCATTATTTGTAAACAATAAAAAAACAAACTCCATGGCCCATTGATGCCATAGCAATATTTATAAAAAATTTAAAAAATGCTCCATGGCCCATTGACGCCATAGCGATTGTCGTGGCCCAGAGACGCCATATACCATAAGGCCTTTCGGGCATGATACAATATTCCAACATGGCGACTCGCATAAGGAATGACGACTGGGAGGGCGATATGGAGTTAAAAGACAACATTAAAGCATACGTTGCCCAGAATTTGCGTCAAACAGAAATTGTGGATTTCTTGAAAGTGAAGTATCCGATGTATGCGTGGAGTGTAAGAACTCTCTCATGTCACATGCATCATTTTGATATAAAATACATCGAATACGACACAAATATTGACGGTGTCACACATGCTGTGGAAGAAGAGATGAATGGGCCAGGAAGATTCCTAGGCTATCGTGCTTTACACAAGAAGATTTGTGAAGTACACACATTGAATGTTCCAAGAAACGTTGTGTACGACGTGATGACCGATGTCAACCCTCAAGGTTTACAAGACAGAGGTGGTGTGGGACAACCGAAACGCCAACGAAGAAAAGGGGCGTTCACATCGACTGTAAGCATATTAAAAAATGTTTTCTATTTTGTTACACTAGAACATTATATTAATATATGTGACGATTTTCTCATTCAGGGAGCTGATTTTACAATGTCACTTGATGGGCATGATAAAATGTGTGGTTTTCAAAAGTCTATGTTCCCACTGTGCATTTATGGTGCACAGGATACTTTCAGCAGCAAAGTAAACTTCCTGAGAGTATGGACTTCCAACAATAATCCAAGCATTAAGTTCTTTGAATGTTTGCATGGCAATAAAATATAATGGTTTTTGTTTGTGGAAACACCACGTAAATTTATTACTGCAAAGCTTTCGATCCGTAAGCCCGGATCTTCATCAGTGCTAATAATATGTTATTATTATTAGCACTGATGAAGATCCAGGCTTACGGATCGAAAGCTTTGCAGTAATAAATTTACGTGGTGTTTCCACAAACAAAAAACAATTAATCCAAGCATTGTTGGTAGATTCTACTTCGACTATTTATTCGAAAGAAGAGGTATTATAATATTTGCCTTTATCTAAATGGTTCTTCAAATTTAGATTATTAATTAATACCCTTCATTAATCATTGAGCATCACTCACCATCAAATATGCTCCAGACTCATTTCAATGCACCTTGAGTATGAAATTTGAAATAATCACCCTTTCTTGATAGACATTGTTTTAGCACCCTTCTTGAGCACAATCATATATTATAGTCATGTTAACATTATTGTACAAAAATATGTGCAACTTTTTCTGTATTTTATAGTGTTACCCTCAAGAATACGTGTGGATAGAGAAACAGAAACTGGTGTGATGTGTACTATCCACAGTTATTTACGAACACAACATGGTGATGTGGAGAATGGAGATGACTGTGTTCTATATGGACCTTCCACCGAAAACAAAATTGAGAGATGGTGGAGAGAGCTGTCACACAGAATGGAAGGCTACTTCAAGGATCAATTAAAATGTTTGCTTGAAGATGGGTATTATGACCCAAGCAATGAAACTGACAGGTATACTTTTCGGACAAGAATGCATTTGGTTTACTGGTTAATGCAGCTATATTCATCAAATATTGCAATTTTTAAACCACAATGATATGAGAGACCAGAGTAAATTATCATATATGAGTGCATGTGCATGAATGATCATCATGTAGTTTTACTTTATTAAAATACAACCTGAAGAGCAAGCTTGTGTCATCGATTTGGCCGTACTCAAGGTCATACACACATGTATGTGCACTACAGCACCACCCCTTCATGTCATTACAAATTCAACTAAGTCCAAGATGATTCCATTGTGTGTGTGTGTGTGTGTGTTTCTGGACTAATTTGAACTCTGTATTGATCGAAATATGATTGTAAGACACACAATCGTTGAATTAGCATTCACTTGACTAAAGCAAATTACTTATCACTGAAACCCTGTCAATTTTAATTTGCAGAAACATGCTAACATATATCTATATTCCTGTGGTACAAAGGGAACTTGATGTGTTCAGGGTATCTGTGTGGAATAATCATAGAGTGAGAAAACAAAAAGACAAGGAGCTTCCCATTGGTGTGCCAGAACATATATACACATGTCCAGAGCAACATGGTGGGGAAAAGTGTGGTATTCCCGTAACCGATGATCAATTACAAGAAGTGGCTGAGTTTTCTCATGTACTGGATGCTAATGATGACTTTTTAGATGATGATTTTCGCCAGGAATGCCAAAGACACATCCCAAATACAGAGGACATTGAGCCAGCCCAGGCTTCGAATGCATATTTATATTTAAAAGATCACATTTGAACATAAACAAGTTTGATCTATTAATTAATGCCAGAATAAAATATGAAACTTTGTTCATAAAGTTTTCCCCAGAATAGGAACAATGTCCACTTATAAGAGAAAATGTTTATATACTCTACAGTATGGTAATCAATAACTAAAAGTCTAGAATAAAGTGGTTAGACAAGCAATTGGACAAGCAATAACCGTACGCATAATGACGTCACAAGGCTTGATGCCTGTGATGAATGATGGTCTTAGTAGTCATCACCCGGGAAAATTAAACGATTGAAAATGGCCACTATAAAAATTTTCCTGGGCAATGACTACTAAGACCAGCATTCCTTGTGGGCATCAAGCATTGTGACATCATTATACATAAGATCTATCAAAATTGTTGCTTTGACAGTTTCCGCATCTCACAGTATCTGTTGCATTCATGACATGTCAAAAAGGATTTAATTGCTGTATCTGACAAATTACCAGTGCAGAAACGAATTGCCTGATCATCAGGGTCTGCCAGCTCAGCCGTTACAATTTCTGGGTCACATAAGGAATAATTAACACCTTGAATGTCAGTGACCATAAGTTGTTGGTTAGATTTCTGGAATGTATAATGACAAATGTCTCAGCTTTAAGGCTTAGTTCACTAGCATCTTCAGGTCTCACACACACCTCTCCAGTGTTG